AAAAGTGATATTTATGGATTTGGAATCATTGCATATGAAGTAACAGATATATAATGTATCTCATGATGAATTTTTAGCTATTAGAATTATCAAGAATTTAGACCAAAGTCTAATTATAAAATTCCTCAATTAATTTTAATCAATATTGGAATGCAACTTTTCAAAACATTTTTAAAGTAACAGAATTTTCTTAATTTTTTCAATTTTCAATTTTTCTATTATTTTATTTATTATATTTATAATTTAATTATGAAGCAAGTTAGTATTTTGTCTTATTAAGAAGTATTCAGATTATATCCTAGAAGTATTATTTTTTAGTGATATAATTTAAGAAAGTTTAATTCTGCCAACAAAAATTAATTATATTTTAAGTTATGTGTAAACCCTTAATGAAAACCTTAAGTAGTTTTCAGTTTATACATTTGGAGCATTATTCTTAAGTGTTATAATCTAAGATAGTTTAATTCCACCAAGTTGTATATAAAAAAACTTTACATTGGTTTTTTTTAATATAAACCTATTTTTTTATAATTGATCATTTGTCACTTGTCACATTTTTTTTATAAGACTTTTCTATTCAGATAAAACTCCAGTTAACCCGTTAAAGTGTTAAGTTTTCGATCCTTTGAATGTTAACAGGCTAACAACACTAATAGGGAATATCTTTTGCCAATTATCTGTAATTTGCAATTTGTATAACGAAACATCAAATTATATTTGATTAGTAGTATCTTTGAACCAATCAATAATGATAAAAGCAATGATCATATTTTTAATGGTAACGTATAATCGCAAAATTTCTTCATGTTCTTAGTATCAATTGCATCTCCAAAGTGTAAATGGTATTGAACATCATCATCATTTTCTTCATAAAAAAAGTTTGTATATGAAATTTTTCTGAAATCGCAGAATAGTCACTTGGTCTTCATATGCTGATAACAATTCTGCTTGAAAATTTGATAATAGCAATTCTTCAACATTTTTTTGGGAAATGTTTTTAATAATATATTTATGGCCAAATCATTACGAACAATATCATTAAATAATTATTTTAAATGGTTAAGCGTAGGTAGACCTCAAAGTTATAGATTTCATTGGTTGCTCAGAAGTAGCCATTTAGCGCAAGTCTTGAACAAGTTATATTGCGAATCGCAACGTTTTAATCTTATTATATACTAATACATTTCTAATTAGGTGAAATTATAAGGATTCTAAATGTATTTAATAAATAAATTTTTTTAATTGTCTCTTAAACTTTATAACTCTAGAAATTTCTGATTGAAGAGATAAGACAAGTAAAATTATGAAATACTTTAGTATTTGATTCTTTAAATACATTTTATTAAAAAAGGCTGTGTATTAAAATAAGTATCCGAAATTGTATTTGTCTTTAAAATATTGATATAATCATAATAAGTAGTGTATAAATAATATCGAATTTAATTTATTAATTAGGAATACAGTAAACTTTAGATCACGTGGATCGTCCAACTCAAACTCCAACCTTATAACGAAAACATTTTTTAATTTTACTTATAAAAATATAGATTTCACTTCTACATGTAGAAAATTTACCTACACGATTTTTCCTACGTTACACAAATGCCAGATATAAAAAAAAAACTGGAAAAACAAAAATAGAGATCATCTAAAATGTAAAATAAGGCTCATAAACATTTACTACTTTTTGAAAAATTTAGCCTTGAATATGCACTTAAATAATAAAAAATAACACAAACTTTCAATTATGTTTGTACTTTGCAAGCTATTGGTAAATTTTAATTAATTAAAAACACTCGAATAGTATCAGAAATAACATGGTGACAAAAAATTAGCAATACATATCGGCTGATTGGAAAAATCAAGCCAATTAATATTTAAGCTCAGTTGATGGGTTCATTATATAACTGATGGGTTACTTATTGTCATTAGCGTATAAAATTATGGGAGGCTTTTCTGATCAGCCGATATGATTGAATCATTTATGGTGGAATGATGAGAAATTATTCTCTAATTTCGGTATATAGTAAAAAAAGACTTAAAATCATTCAAATTACAAAAATGTGTGTAGTTTGTTCAATATACAGTATACCATTATTCCACAAACTTAATAGGGTTTCATCGTTAGTTTTTGTCATTGCGCAAGATTTTATAAGATCATTTTTGTCACGTGACTATTTTTCATTTTTTTTTGTCCCACACTTCTACATATTTGTCTGCACTCTGCAGGGGTATTACACTGTTCAATCTGTTCATGAAATGTGATTGTAATTGTTCAGAAAAATAACTTCTTCCCCGCCGTTTTTTTTCTCGTTAAAATCGTTACATTTGTATGAGCTCAGTCATCTGTTGTAATTTATCTTCTACTTTCAATAACGAGAAGTTCTAAGGCATATATAGTAGGTTATTACTTAACCTTACTATACAGTAAAAACTATTATTATACCTGGATTTGTACAAAAAGCGTTTAAAAAAAAATTCGTTACGAAGTAATAACTTTTAGGCATTTCATTTATTGTTTTATTACAAAGGTACATTATGCTTTTATTTTGGAGTAGAAATATACTCGTTTTTCGTTTTAAATAAAAAAATATGTAAACTAACTCTCTCTGATATTTGGCTTCCAGGAACCCAGTTGATAAAATTTAGACCACGATTAAGATCACGTGTTTATTAAATGGTTTTTTTTTTTTCGCCAAATTCCCTGATATAGGGTAAAATAAAACGCCATACTACCATTATAGTCGCAATTCGAAGATCATTACCTCAATAGGCTAAATAGATTATTAGAGGAAAAAATAATTGATCAATATTACTCACATGATAACTTTAATATTATCGGCTCTGGAGGATCTGTTTATATCGCAAAATGGAAGAATACATTAACAAAATGTGCAATTAAAAAATTTGTCGATGACAAAGAGGTTCGTCATCGATGGCATTTTTGTTTTATTTATAAATTATTGATAAATTATTTCTTTAGATTTGTTTAACTTATATGGCCAATTCCCATGATAATATAATTCAATTTCGTGGAGTTATGAAATTAGAAGGTAGAATAACATATATATGGATATGTATCTATGTTTTATGTATTTTGTTAATGTGTTTTAATTTTCTTAGATGAAAAAAAATATTCGCTTGTTCTTGAATATGCGAACGGTGGAACACTAAGAGAACATTTAAGGAACAAAACTATAACTTTTAAGTGGGAGGACCAGTTAAGGTTTGCTAAGGAGCTTGCAAGTGCGGCTTTATGGTTACATGATTATAAGGAAATCATACACGGTGATCTTGTAAGTACATTCCTATTGTTTTAAAATTACATAGCGGAACTTCCTCTAATTATTAGATTTTTTTAGCACCCCGACAATATCTTAGTACACAGAGATACAATAAAATTAGCAGATTTTGGGCGTTCTTTTGAAAAAGGAAAGGATTGTACTACTACTAAAATATGGGGTGTAATACCTTACGTGGATTCTAAAATGCTTGAAATGCTTATCCAAAATGCCCCATGTGTTTTAACTGAGAAGTCTGATATATATAGCTTGGGAGTAATATTCTGGGAATTAACAAGTCGAAAATCACCTTTCAGTTTTAACAATCAGAAATGCGACTATTCGCTCATTAATATCATTAGTAAGGGTGCTAGAGAAGAACCGGTTAAAGACACAAATAATAAATTCGTCGTACTTTATGAAAGTGAGTGTAAGACAAAGTATAAAGTTATTTGATACTTTTCTGCAATATTTTTCACAATCTATTTTTACTTATTTTAATTAGAATGCTGGCAACACGAACCAAATAATAGACCGGATATCAGCGAGTAATTTCAGAACTTAATTTTATTAACCCTGAAAACGAGGATGTATCAGCTATTACTCTCAAAAAAAGCGAAAATGGAACAACGGAGGATCTATGTTTGCCAGATTAAATAAACCTTGTCCCATTTTTAGATTATTTATAGATTTTTTCATAATTATTACAACTTTTTCAATATTCCACTTGAATAGGGGGGTTATTTATTTTTGTCAAAATTTTTCACGAACATTTTATTTTTATAAACGAAAATAAAAAATAGATTTTTTATTGCGAAATATCAAAAATGTTATATGTCAAGTGACATTATTAACAAAAGGGAAGCGGTGATTTCAAATAAATGAGTTCTATGAGTTCTACACTCAATAGCCGAACTTTCTTAATTACATTTGCATTCACAATGGATTAATAGTGTTTACTGATTTTATAACTGGATAAGAAAGTGCGATGAATGGTACAAGAAATACAGTATAGGTGGTGAATAAATGCTAAGTGACAAAGTGAAATCGGTCATCAATCCATGTCGAAAAAAATATGGATGTCTGATGACACTTATCACACAAAATATATCCAGCTATGCGAACTATCTAACAAAATTTCTTTGGTTACGGATTAATCATTCCTTTTATTGAATATAGTGAAGAATAATCATCATCTCTAAATCACTAAAAATCATCCTTTGTACCTACCAATCGGTTATCAATTGATCTTAAATAAAGCGTACGATGCACTGTTACTGACGATTTCTTAATGAATAATATTAAAGCGTTCTGCAAATAAATGACAGAAGAGTTGTTTCGAATAAGGCACAAAGGATTTATAAATTGTTTAATGGTATTAGTGGAGATAGTAATTTGACAACGGCGGCATAAACATGATGCTTACGAAAAATTATCCGCAGCCATCGATCACGTGATACTGTGAAATTGCAGTCTTATGTATAAGTCATATGCATCATTGAGTTATTTGTACCACACATTGCAAAGCAGTATTAAAAAATTGTCTGCAAAAATTTAGCGTAACAAGCCATTAAATGCTGTGTATTGTCGTAATATTTATTAGAACATGCAATCAAATTTTTCATTATACAAATAATCCTGATTCAAATTCCAAAACTAACGAATACTACCGAACCGCTACCCATCATTAAGAATAATCCTGTTCCGGATGGTTGGATAGCATTACCGCCTTATGTATCGTTAATTCTATATTCGAATTCAGGAAAAACGTATTATCCTCCAGGTTCAGGCAATTGGAGGTTACATATCAAAAGATTTCAAGAAATTTAAAGAGAAAGAACGTACTCGAACTGTGTATGAACAAGCCTGGATACATAAAGACGAAACTGCGCTTTCCGCACGTAATTTTGGTACAAGAAAGATACATTTCACGCTTATAAAAGAGTAAAAGGAAAAAGGACGAGAAAAGTTCTCTTTAAAGATTTTTATGTACATTACGACCCTTTTATTTCGTATGAATATAGCTCCGATGACATAGAACAACGTCCTTATAAACGACAAGTTAATCATTTGTCACAAAACACTTCTATCTCGAAAAAGATCTGTCCATCGACCCAGTGTTCCGAAGACCGCCATGAAGAGGACTAATTTTCTTTTTTTCGTTTACATCCTTTTTGTAATAAAATATTTTACATCATTAAAACCTTAAACAATTTAGAATAGTGTAAATCATTCTACACCTTACAGTATTTACGTGTAGCACTCCTTTTGGAGCGAAAGAAAAATACAGGTTTTATTTTTTTAGAAACTGTCTAATTCGATTTATAACGCACGTATTTATAGTGGGGAGGTAAAGGAAAGAAAATAAGGAAAGTATGAGGTTATACTACGATTTAAGATGTGGATTTAGATCAATCAGCCGATCACCTGATCTGATTATATTTCTATTTTTAGGTTTCGGACTAGTCGGATTTTGGCCAGGGCTATTCATGTAATAGACTCTGGTTACCACTCTTTAGAAATAAATAAATATATTTTGGCCAGGGTTTCGGTTTCAGAAAATGGGGTTTGAAAACCAATACTGTCCGAAATCCGAAACCAAAACTCGTCCGAAACTAGGATACAAGTATCCAATATATATCAATATTTGGAAGTTTGTACCACATGGAAGGGTTTTGTTTGATTTATACAGTATATAAGGTTTTGTTAATGGCTAAATAATAAATTAATCCTTTAATAATAAGTTTACAATTTAGTAATACTTCTTACAATGATAATAGCATGATCTTGCATGACTGAAAAAATGTGAAATGATCATAATTACTATTGGCTATTTAATTAGGATTTTTAACACTGCTCATATTTATTATTTAGCATAAAAGGTATAAAAGGGACAATTTTGCTGAGTTTTGTTGCATTTTACTACACTGTTTAGAATTTTTTTTTTTTAAAGCTATTTCTAGACATAAACTAAATTATAAATTTAATAGTTTATTTTATATTTTCTTGTCACTTAATATTAAATAGCTTATAATGTACATACTGAATTATTCAATAATCTGTATACTGTTTGTTTTCTGTCAGCAAGTACAGCAAATCGTTGGGATTTCAAGAGCGTCCAATGAACTTATTTCGAGTCCCATTATGCTGACTGTTAATGAAAACAAAATAATACAACATAATGAGTTGCCAGAGGTGACAAACGAGGTCTCAGTATCGCTATGGCTCAATATTAAAATGCGTGATATTTCTTGGTCTTGTGTTTTTCACAAAGGTATAACCACTCGTTATGTCATTTATGAGTTTTTTGGAAGATGAAATTGATTTTATAGATTGTTGTTCTAAATCTTAAAATAAATATATATGCATTAAAGGTGGACAAGATTTAGTTCGTACGCCCTCTCTCTGGCTGACTCCAGCCAAATCAGCGCCGCATGTTCGTTTCTCGTTAAACGATAATTCAAATGCTGGAATTGATTCGGTCGGTAGCGGGCTTCTTTTGAACAAATGGTATCATTTAGCTTACACACTATCTGATCCAGAGAAGAGATCGGATTTTTATATAGATGGCAAATGGGTTGGATTTCAGAGCATCCAGCCGACGGAACAAATAGTATTTAACGATGCACCATTATACATCGGTAACGATACCTTCTATAATGGGATCACTGGACTGATTAGGTATGTTGTCATAATAAAGTTGACAGAATTATAGAATTAATGGCCACTTTTTATTATTATTAGTAATTTTCGTTATTTTAATTGGCGGTTATCTGCTGATGAAGTGATAAAAGATTTTTCGGTAAGATGCTTTCCTAGTTTTACGTTTGTGAGCTTTTTATTATTCAATTGAAGTCCTTTATTTCTTCAATTTTTAAATTTAGAATAATAGTTCGATCATATCACCTGGATCACCCATGCAGCCAATTACAACTACAACGTCTGATCCATCTACTCAACTTAAAACAGAAACTAATAATACTGCTATCATGGCTGGTATAGGCATAGGCGCGTCTCTTGTCACCATTCTTTTAGCTATTGCCGGATTATATATATTTAAATTATATAGGAAAAAACAACAGCATGGAAAATATGGACCCGAAGTTACGGAAGAATCTTCTGGACATGAAGTTATATCTACTGGAAAAGTTCGGAGCATAAAAAAAAATTAATATTTTGAGAAGAAGAAATTTATAACAGTTGTAAATTTTTCATTTACGTGTGGTCACGACATATTGTACATTAAAGATGTTATAAGTTTCAGTGTAAACTGAAAAAACGATATCTTAAAGCACGCACGCACGAAGTATATACTGTATTATACAGAACCAATTAGGTGAAATTGTGAAATTTTTTTCTGATTGACGCGATATGACAAATAACCAAATAAATTCCACATCATAAAATGGAACTTTAAATTATGATCTAGACCCTTTAAATACAGTGTATTAAAAAATTAAATGTTAAAAACAGGATTTGCAATTGTACCAATTTATTCAATTAAAATCGAGAATAAATAACCTTATGAATAAATATAACTCATTTTTAACATTAATTTTAAAACAAACATCGGTATCCGAAAAAAAACTTCATATCATAATATATTATTACTTATCTTTAAAATATTGGATACAAATAAATTTATGATCTAATGTTACCTCAAAATGCGAATTGTAATAAATTAACTTTGACAATATTCGGTTAGTAACAGAGAATTGATATATAGGTGTAAGGAAAATATAATTTCTTAGTAAAAATGAAACTAAGTTTAAACAACTGCCGAAGAAATTCACTTATATTATGCACCTAGAAAGGTATTTTGTCATTGATGTGATATAAATACAATAAAACAATAAGTTTATATTATACTTGTTTCGTGTAACCTAGATCATTGTTAGAATTAAATGTAAATATAATAATCCATAGGCGCAGTAATATCGGTTTAGAATGAACGCCTCATAGTCCGTTTCAGGAGGTCTTATTTGACTTTATTAGGCAGCAAATCTGTTATGTAACCGCGCGTGTCTACTTTTAGCATAAAAGAGTGCATTTGGTTAATAATTTATAAATAATTCTAATGAAAGCAAATCGAGAGCGTCTAATGAACTTATTCAGTCCCATTACACTGATTGGTAATGACAATAGAGTACTGATTTTCCAGAAGTGACAAACGAAGTTTCAATAACGCTACGACTTAATATTACGTTTCATGACCCCACGTTTGCTTGTGTTTTTCACAAAAGTATAACCACTATTTACGAGTTTCTTTGAAAAGTGAAATCGGTTGTAAATTTGTTTATAAACTCATACATGTTGTCAAAATATATTTTCTTTAAGGCGACCAAAATATAGTTCGTACGCCTTCACTCTGGCTGACACCGTCCAAAACAGCACCGCATCCCGCTTCCCGCTAAACGATTCTTATAATGAAGGAATTCATTCGGTCGGTAATGGGCTCCCCTTTAACCGATGGCATCACTTAGCTTACACGCTATATTCCGAAAAGAGACCGGATTTTTATATGGATGGCCAATGGGCCGGATTTCGGAGCATCCAGCGTTCCAGCCAACGAAGCAATTAGCATTCAACGTTGCAACTTGTATAATGGGCTCAATGGCCAGATTAGGTATGGTTTGACATAATAATGAAGTTATAAAAGTATTAAATGGTCACTTCCATTATTATTAGCTATTTTAACTGGCGTTTATCTGCTGATGAGGTTGCGATATGATTACATAATTTCATGTTTATGAGCTTCTCTTATTCAATTTACATTCTTTACCTTCTTTCAATAACTTGAATTTAGAACGACAGTTCAATTACATCTGTTAAATCTACTACACCAACTAATAATATTCCTATCATGGCTGACATAGTTGTAGGTGCTTCTCTTTGCAGTATTCTTATCGGATTTTATATCTTTAAATCATATAAGAAAAAGCAACAGAATAGAGATTATAGACCTGAAGTTACAGAAGAATCTCCTGGACATGAAGTTACTCTAAATAAAATTTAAATTCCACTGTAATCTTGACGTTGCTACCTGAATGAAAAAAAGTGATATCCTAAAGCATATATGTCTTACTAACAAATATTTAATATATTAAAATTGTAAGCAACTTTTTATAGAGAAAATCTATGTTATTCGAAGTAAAAATATAATAATTTATAATTTACTATATAGGTACATATTCAGTGTCTCGCTAACTCGCGAAATTAAATTATCATTTTATCTATTGAAATAATTTTTTTTTAAAGTTACATTTCAATTTCGAACTAAAGCATTTCTCTTTATTAATTAGTTTTTCCGCATTGCATTTTTAAATATCGTCAGTGGTTTCTATCAGACAATTCATGGTCGGTATACTAAAATACCCGTAGCATCATTGATTTCTAATAATTTCAATTAGAAATTTAAGAATCTATTGTTAAATCAAAAAATATAGCAAGGAAATTTTTTGTAGGCGCGGCTGAGTGTGTTTCACAAACTTTTATTAGAATTCAAATCTTCTATTGAAGCGGTACTACAATAATAATAATAATAATCGTTAGAATGAACTAGTCAATTTTAGAGATCTTGTTGGATTTGTACAGATTTTGAAACACCCCTAAATGTAAACATCACGTGTTTATTTACTTTTATTATTTTAACATAAAAGGAGATGCCACACTGGTTAGGATTTTAAGCTAATTTAAATGCATAAACTGAATTATTTAATAATAGGTATACTGTTTGTTTTTTCTCAAAAAATACAGCAAGTTGCTGGGATTTCAAGAGCGTCCAATGAGCTTATTTCGAGTCCCATTATGTTGACTGCTAATGACAGTAAGATAGTACAACATAATGAGTTGCCGGAGGTGACAAATGAGGTCTCGATAACGCTACGACTTAATATTATAAGTCATGATACCAAGTGGGCTTGTGTTTTTCACAAAGGTATAGCTAGTGGCTTACACGCTTACTATTGTACTTAGTACAATTTTGCATAAAAATGAAAATTGATTTGTCGTTAAATTTTATATCGAAGTCTCAAAAAAAAATTAAATGTACATTTAAGGCGGAAAAATTCTGGTTCGTACGCCCTCGCTCTGGTTGTCACCGACCAAATCAGTACCACGCGCTCGCTTCTCGTCAAGCTACAATTTGAATGTAGGAATTGAAGATATAGGTAACGGGCTCCTTCTAAACAAGTGGTATCATTTAGCTTACACGCTGTCCGATTCCGAAAAGAGATTGGATTTCTACTTAGATGGCGAATGGGCTGGTTTTCATAGTATCCAACCGATGGAACAAGTCATATTCAACGCTGGACCGTTATATATAGGAAATGATTTATACACCGGGATTACTGGCCAGATTAGGTATTAAATGGTCACTTTTATTATTGACAGAATTTCAAAGTATATATTAATCATTTACTTTTATTACAAATAGTAATTTTCGTTATTTTAACTGGCGCTTATCTGCTGATGAAGTGACAAGTGATTATTTGGTAAGATATAGCTCCACATTTATGTGCTTCTTTTTTTATCCAAACTAATAAAATTTATTTTCTTTTACCAATTTAAATTCAGAATAAAACCATTTCGATTCCTGTATCGTCTGTACCACCTGTAACACCTGTATCATCTGTTCCCCCTACATCATCGATTACATCATCCGATCAATCAAATACTAAGGATACTAAATCTAATCCTGTTGCTATCATAGTTGGTGTAGGCATAGGTGCTTCCCTTGGTAGTATTCTTATATTTGTTACAGGATTTTATTTAATTAGATCATATAAGAAAAGACAGAAACAGAATAGAGCTTATGATAGAACTTCTGATCACCAAGTTATATCTAGTGGAAAATAATAATTTTTTAGGAGGAGACTTTTGACATTAACGCATGGATCGTTAAAGAGGCATTCATTTTCTACCTCTTAGAAATATATTTTTAATCCTTCCCTTCGGTGTATAAAATAATATTTTAAGTTTCAATGTAATCTCAATTCCATAAATACATTGTCGTAAAATTGATATCTTAAAAGTGTATATGCACTTAAAATTTAGGTAAACTAAAGAATTCTTGTTAAATAAATTAAAATAAACATCAAAATTTGTAAATTATTATAGAGAAACCAAAACAGTTAATATAAAGAAGATTTTATAATTCTTTCTCGTATCATTTGCACTATTTGTTATCTTTACTATATAATTCTGTAAGAATTTAATAGCATTAGTATAGCTTGTTATGCTTTTGCTAGAATTATAAACCAAAGAAGGGACTATAATGTTCATAATAATTACTTTAATAATCGATTTTACCGTCTGTATTTCCGTCTAAATTTCGATCTCATCATGATGCAAATAAAAATCGTACATTCTGAACTGTCAGTAAAATTTATGGCTTAATATTCAAAGTTATTACACCCGTATTTTTCACAATATAGTAGCTATATAATTTCAAGAATGAGGTTCAATGCGTAAAGTCAAGATTGTTTGCAATTACCGATAGTTTCGCCTTTCTTAAGGGATTGACATGATATATAACGTTAAATCAATAGCTCACACATTTATATCTAATAGACGAATAATTGGCCAGGTCCTAGAGCATAGGGATGATAATGAGTCTTCAAGCAGGGTATTAGATGTCCTTTATTTATTATAAATAATTTAAGTTAGAACAATTCCGATATCACCCTATAATTAATCAAATATAATAACTACTAAATCTAATGGCATCTTTTCATAGATGAAATATTATTTATTAATAATATTAAGAATTATATTACTAAAAATATTTTTGTGGATTTGGTTTGTAAGAATCGTCCTTGACAAAGTTTTTTTTTTGGTATAAATACATAACGATAATAAGGTTATGTAACATTAATCATCTTTTGCTGGAAATGGAAGTTCAAAATTACGACTATCAGTATGCTCGATACAGTTAATATCACAAGCAAAGATCACCGATCTTTAATATTTGATATAATTAGTTTATAGATTATCTGATATCAGTACCGTTTCACAGTTCCAATACATTACATCACTCGAAAGAACACAACAGCTTATCATTAAAGAAAATAATATTTACAAACTTTTATTTTTTTATTTTAAAGAAAATATAATAAAAATTGATATTTCATTTCTCAATTAAAAATGATTTACAAAATAGAAAGTAATTCTCAAAACTAAATTACTACAAGATTAACAACTCAAATATTAAAACTTATAGTTATTGTATATATAAATAGATACTCATTTTTTTTTGAAATTTTTTAAGAATTTGAAATTTTGAGACTTATAATTATAATTCCATTGGAGGCCATTGAAGATATCCCAATTCTTACTATTGTTTTCAAAAAAAAATTCACATTAGCATTTTTTTTAAACACCCTACATTAATAATTTTTTTAAAATAAAAAATAACCTTGTCTCGCTTTGGTTGATAATCATCTAAACTTTCCAAGATTTTTCCGATTATTTTGTTACATCTTTTAATATGTCCATCTGAAGCTCCAAATAAATTTCTTGCAATATCAATATAATTCATAACGAGGAAGTAGTTGCGGGAAAGAAAGTGGAAAAGCAATCGACACTATTAAAAAGTATTATCTTATTTAGAGATAATGTTTTAAATTTAATCAAGTTTAAAAATCTTGTCTGTATTTAAATGATTTATTGTGGTACTTAGTGGACTATTTTGGTGTATACTACTCATCGGTACATCACTCGTACGCCAAAGCCAGATCGAAAAAGCTGGTCTTTTTGCTCATCGTTTCTTACTATCATTAAGTCACCAACTTTAGACTTGGTACCGAAATTCATTTGCCTTATATTCGACTTTCGATGTATATCACCCGAAACTAATGGCGAAAGCTCAAACCCGAAACTAATGCCAAAAACCGAAATATATGCCAAAATCTCCCGAAATCCCAATATATGCCAAAACTTGTGACATATGCCAAAGTTATAAATGCTTTTAATGTTTAGGATTTCGGCATAGGTTTGAGATTTCGGCGTATTTTGGCATTAATTTCGGGTTTGGGATTTCGGAAATAAAACTTAATACCAAAACTGAGTTTCGGAATCCAAACATGTATACTTTCAGCACTCAACTCTACCGGGTTCTAAATTTAATTCACAAGAAATGGAAGGGGTCTTTAAACGTTTGTCAGTGAAATGATTGTCAGTGAAGTAATCGTTGGTGAATTAAATGCGCCCCATATCTAATAAGATTGGTATAGCCTAATCATCAATCTCCTTTCATTCTTGATGCCACAGTTAATAAATCTAAGAATTTCTTAAAGACAATGCCTAATAATGCTAATGTATTCATAGACTTTTTAAATTACATCGCCCATATTATTTGTAACACCTACATGTATCGTGAACAATATACTTCATTTAAAACGCATATATGTCAATTAGGTACTGATAAAAAAAGTTGAGTTATTTACTAAACAAAAGAATATCTTACATTTGGCAAAATGATTTTGTTAATATGATAAAGAATAGATTTGAAACTTGGTCTAAATCATACAATCTACAAGAGATTCTTGGACCCATTCCATATATCACTTATCAGTTTTTTTTCATTAATTTAAATATTGGTCAAAAAGATAATTCTTATAAACTGTATTTTGACTTGTAATTTAATAATCTTTTAACCTTTCCAGCTCTTATCTTGAAAACAATAGGATAATAAGATCATATTTAGGGTTCTTGAAAAGTCACTGTGATAATTTCTTCAACTTTCTTAGACAATTGGAAAAATTTTGATAATCTTTGAACTGTCCATTTTTTGGATTATCTGATTTAAAAGATAAGGTGTATTTTTTATTTTACTAAGAGAGAATAACTCTAGAGTTAATGCTAGTAATTTAACTTATTAGAGAATTTACTGAATTTGACAACTTTGGCAACTGTTTCAAATTTCTTAATTCAGGTATTTTAACTTTTTTCACTTGTTAATATAATTATTTTACTAATTTTGAAGAAGGAATTGGTTATTAATATGTATTTTCTTTTATTACTAGATAATATTTAAACACATTATTAATAATTTTTTTCTTTTATAAAATGGCTGTATTATGTAAAAACAGAGGGTATAATATCAGGAACAATAGTTATATAATATAAAATTACATATATAAAATTATATTATTTAAAATAATATTAATAAAATCACAAATATTTTCTTCTTTAAGTAATTGTTAAATACTCTTTACTATTAAAATTATATATTTTTAAATTATTACTAGTAATAAATAGTACAAAATCAAAAGAATTAAGTTGATTTAATTATTCAAATATTTTATTTTAAAAGGAATAGGAAATAATATTAATTTAAAGTTAAAATATATTTTATAAATTAGTTTAATAAAAATCAAAAAAAATTTAATATAAATAATAATTTAATTTAGATAAAATTGTTAAAAAATTTATTAAAAAAATCATGTATATATTAGTTTAAGAAAATAATAAATAAATTAAAATAATTGAATCAATTTTTAATTTTAATGTATAGAAAAAATAATATTTAATTATTTATAAAAAAATTAGATATTTAAATAATTAAATAAATTGTAATAAATATAGAAATTTAAATTTAAATTAATCTGCTAAAATTATTATATATATTTTTTTAAAGTCATTGAAGATTTACTTATATATAAATTGTAAATAAATAGTATTTAATAAGTTCTAAAATAATGGTTGTTGTTAATAATATTTACATATATATAGACATTAAACAATCTGGTATAATACTAATAAGAATTATTCAGCAGTTATGGTAAGTTTTTATTTATTATATTTACTAAAAATATTAAAGTTAAATTAAAAATAGGCTTTATATTAATAATTAATACTTATTATACATGGCTGCTAACTGTGATTAATAATATTTTTTCTTTTTCTTTATACAAACATTAGCATTTTAAAGAAAAACTTAAGATCCTTTAACTATCATTATACTGATTATACTGATCATGTACTGTATGTATAAATATTTTCTCATCTCGCACTTATCAGAAAAGCCGATGCCTTACCTTCACCTATTTTTTTTGGTTTGAGTAGTGTGTTGGGTAATTATCAGTTTAACGGATTATCTGTATTTATCCGTTTAATTTGTACCATCCTAACTAACCATATTTCCTATTCATAATAACTAAAACTTCTTTTTTTTAGAAATTTACGGATTATCCGTTACAGATAATCACATCAGCTAAAACAGATTCGGATTCAGATGACGGACACACTAGGTTTGAATAGCTGAAAGTATCTTTGATTTCTTGAATTCTCAAGGCAACTCCACTATTATTAGATCTTTTAATGTTTCAAATGTTTTAAGGGTAGTGTCAGATATTAAATCATGTAATAGAAATTATGTAATCAAAATTATTATATATGCACAGTACTTAAATGTTATTGGATGAAAGAAATATTACCGGCTAACAAAATTAATATTATGTCATTACCCTAATACTAATTTAATAAATACTATAAACGAATATTGTACTATTAAGGCAATTTAATACCACCCTCGCTACGATGTCTTCCATTCTCATCATATTCACCAATTTTTGATATATGTATACTTTCAAGTCTATTATTCCCAAATTCTATACCGCCGAATTTATTAAGAATAGGACCAGCGTTAAAGGGATATCTATTGGATTCCCCATGTTTGTCATTATTACTAGATGCTGAATGTTCATTTCTATGTCTAGTATTGATAAGAGTAACGTGCAACTAATTTATATAGGAAATTTTTGGAAGAATTAGCATAATTGTTACTACCGTAATTCACATAAATAAAATTAACAGGGGATGACTCACCTTTAATGGTCGATTTTCTTTCTTTAAATAACCTTCTGCCGCAAACTCTTCTATTAAATATTCTATAAAACATTGAATATTGTTCTTTGTTATCTTCTGTTTAGTAATATGAAGTCGAAAGAGAATATTTACCTCCTAACTTTTTAAGGGTACTATTTTGTCCTTCCGGTTCCTCAACTTTGGCGTACAAGACATGCGATTTTACTAAAATAATAAGGACACAAATAATTAATAATATTATAAAAAACTTCTAATAGAAACATTTTTACCACACCTATATCATTCTCCATTACTGCTAATCCAGATAATGTAGAAACTAAAGTTCGTGTTCCTATTATTCCATCAATTGTTTTTGATAAACTTTTAAGTAATCTCACTGCTCCTTCAATATCTTCTTTTCTATACAAATGTAAAGTTCCAATTGTAATATGTAACGTGTGAGAATTTATAAGTATAGATTTATCTACACCTTGAAGATTAAGTTCAAGAACATTTGATTTAAAATCTTCTACTTTGCGTTGAAGATGAGTATCGGTAAGTGGTATAGAAATAAAATGTGTTGGTGGTAATATAAAAATTGACTAAATTTAAGAAGGAAAAAAAGAGAGAGTTAAAATTTGTAATCAAAACAACAAAATTATATGAAATTAAAAGTTACATCTGATTCGATTATGTTTTTGATTTGTTTTTTAGCTCTCTCAATTCCTACTTTTGTGCCGCTAATAGCTATTATTTTTGAAAAATGTATGTTATTGGATGATTATATAAAATTACATCTCAAATATTGATATTATATACTTACTAACAAGATTACTAACAAGATTTTCATCTTTTGGAATTATAATATTGGTTTTAGTTTCGGCCATAATCTGTTTCACGGTACCCCCTCCCCTTCCTATAAAATTTCTTAAATTAAATTATTATAATAAAAATAGCTTATATAGAAAAATTTTATTAAGTACCAATAATGAGCCTATGTAAGGGTTGTGGAACATCAAGTCTATCTGTAAAGTATCCTTCATGTACTTCTTTCTTATTTATAACTGATTCTCTAATTGATTCAATATTTTCTTTCTTGTTATCTCCTATTTCTGTACTATTATTAGCATTTCCTGCATTATTATACTGATAAATATGATCAAGAGAGAATTAGGAATTAAAAATTTTAGTTATTGAAATATTTATACATATCTAAAATTGATTACCGATTCAATAATATCTTCAATTCGTTTTATAGCCATCCCAACCCCATCTTTTGTGCCTCTAATAGCTATTATTTATTAAATATATATATATTACGTTATTAAATGACTACATCTCAAATAATGATTGTATACTTACTGGCAAGATTTTCATATCTTTGAACTATAATTCTAGTATTAGTTTCGGTCATAATCTGTTTCACGGTATTCCCTCCCTTTCCTATAAAATTTCGTGATATGATAAACCCAATTGTCTCGTTTCAAGAAATATTATTTAAAATGTATCAAACTTACCAATGATTGCTCCATGGAAACGTCCTAGAATGTTAAATTTGTGTGTGATTTCCTCGTTATCTTTAATCGATTCTTTAATTGATTCACCATCATCTTTATTTTTATCTTCAATTTTCGTTTCATCAGATTTCTCATTTGCTGTTTTATATTGCTAAAGAATGTATTAAATATTTAATAAATATTTATACGTACATATTAAAATGTATATATTAAAAGTTTCTCACCGATTCAATAATATTTTCAATTCGTTTTCTAGCCATCTCAACCCCATCTTTTGCGCCGCTAATAACTATTATTTATTAAAAAACACATATATATATTACGTTATTAAATGATTATATAAAATTACATCTCGAATAATGATTGTATACTTACCGGCAAGTTTTTCATATCTTTGAACTATAATTTTAGTATTGGTCTCAGCCATAATCTGTTGCACGACACTTCCTCCCTTTCCTATAAAAATTCGTGAATTAAATTATTATAATAACCCGAATTTTTTTCTTCAATAAAAAAAAAAGAATAGTGAAAAAATTAAGATATCCAACTTACCAATAATTGGTCCATGTAAATGTGTTGGAACATAAAGTTTGAACGTGAAATCCTCATTATCTTTAATCGATTCTTTAATTGATTCATCATCATCCTTCTTTTTATCTTCAATTTTCGTATCATTAATAGATTTCTCATTTTCTGTATTATTATTATTTTGCTAGAAAACGTATCATTTTATCTTAAATATCTTATCAAAATATAATCATACAGATATATTATACAAATATATATTAGAAACTACTTACTTGAGCAATAGTATCTTCAATTCGTTTTTTAGCTATCTCAACTCTGTCTTTTGTACCGATAATAACTATGAATCCATTAAACAAATGAATTTAATTGTTCCCTTTTTTTGCAAAAAAAAAATGTTGATTGTTATGTACTTACCAACAGGACCATCATAATTAACAAATATTTTAGCTTTAGTTTCCTCTCTAAGTTGTTTTATATTATATCCTCCTCTTCCTATTAAAATCCATAATTTTATTAAAACAAAAAAAAAAATCAAACGAAAGAATTAAAAAAAAAATCAAATTTACCAATAATTAATCCATAAAAACGCCGTGAAATATCAAGTTTAAGTGTTATTTCTTCTTCGTTAGCTGATTCAGCTTTATTATTATCATCTTTATTATGTGTGCGAACTAGCAAATAACATTTTATTATTAACAAACGGTCTACTTTCAATTAATATTAAAACGTTTACCATAAACATCTTTTTTTGAGGAAAAACTAGCAGGAAGTGAGGCGGTCGGAACACGAAAATTTCGTTTTCCAACGTGAACGAGAGTTATGCCTTTCATGCAATTTGAACTTTCAATTTGAGCCATTTTTATTTTATATAAAATTTTGATCTATCTATCGCAAATTTATTTTAAAATTTATTAACAAAAATGATAGCGCAGATCCAGTGATCATTGCCTTAATTGATAAAAATCACAAAACCATTGAAATATAATTTAGGATTTCTGGTCAAACTGAATTATTATTAATCCTACGTTAAACATCAAATTAGCTCTAATGCCGTAATTATTCAAATAATAGTTTATTTCAAATCAGATTTTTCCATACAAGTGCCTTCCGTTATAAGTTATAACGGCACTCTTCGTCCTTACACTCGTCACACGCTAATCCCTTTCTTACTACTATATGCAACATTAAAATAATTTGTTTTATTAAAATAGAATTATTTGTCGTAATTTTAAAATATATAACTGAGATTACTAACAAATTACACAAGTTTAAGAGAAATGTTTGATAGAGATTCAATTTCGTCAATTACAGTCTATCTGCTATTTTATTTTTAAATACGATTAAGCAAATTTTGCATTAATTGCATTAATTAGAAAAAAATTTTCAGTAATACAGTCAACGCTCATTATAGTGAAGCTCGTTATAATAGATTTGGCTTATAGTGAACTTTCATTATAGTTATAGTAAACTTACTAAATATTAGATAATTTCCAATTTATAAATCGGTATCAAAATCTTGAGGAAAATTTAAATCATATAATTGAATCACAACAAAATCTTGAGGAAAATTTAAGTCATATAATTAAATCACAACAAAATCTCAAAAACATTTCTTTTAACTTTGATAGCCTTCCTTTATATAATTCATTAAAGGATCTACTTCTTGGAGGTGGTACTTCATATGGACTTGATCACGAGTAGTTACATAAGCTTCATATTCGCCAGGACATTAATAAATTTTTTCTAATTGTTGTTATAATGAGATATCGAAGGATGGTATGTCGTTTAGTCGTTATACAATAATATGAGATGTCATTATAACGGGAGGCACTTGTATAACAATGCAGTATCACTCCTATTAGGATAAAATTTATGTGTAACGCGTTTTATCTAGAGTTCTCCCCTTTCCCATTTATAACAGCAGTAAAATTTCTCAAATTAATGATATTTTCAAATATTATTAAGCGATAAGTTACAATAAATTTAATATTTTAAATATTAATGATATTCATTGCAACACGTGTAAATAAAATAAAAAAAAAAAAGGTTAAAAAGTAGAAAAGATGAAAATTGCAGTCTATCATACTTGCTGTACGAGTTTAACTGCATGTGCTAATCGAATGAGCCCATTGATCGGAATTGTGTTTTAGTCTATATATTATGTCGATGCTTCAGCTTTGCCCAAATAATATACATACAAAATTAGAAAAATGTTGAAATTATCTATTAATCAATCTATCTTGACCAACTTCTTAACGCCTAGGTGGTGGTGTTGGAGTACTTGGACCACGTCTAGTCGATAATGGCCTGGAAACTGGACTAGGTGATCTCTGACGTCCCGAATAAGGAATATTTGTTCTTCCACTCCTTATAGGACTCATGGAACGTCGCCTATTTATTAAAATAATAAAGTTTGATCGTCATTTAAACAATCGTTTATTTAAGTTTTGTATAAAATAAAGCATACCTATAGATGCCAGTACGAGGAGATGAGGGTCTTAATGGAGGTGGTCCAATTAATGGATCAGGGTAACGAGAAGTTGCTAACGGTGAGCGAGCACGATAAGATGAAATTGGTGGATCCCTATGTAACATATAGCCCTTCATTACTCAATACTCCATTACCCTTTATTACCTAAACTGACAGGGTAAAATGTTATATATGCCATAAAAACAAATATCTTACCTAATACCCCTCTCATAACTTCCTCGACGTGGTGGTGGCGGTGGAGAGCCAACTCGACCTCTACCAGGATATAATGGGACATCAGGAGGAGGTAAAGCTCTTCTCTCATATCCATCTCGATCATATCCATCTCTTGGAGTTGTATAATAATTGCGATCATAATTATCTCTACCAATCCTATCATACTCTCTTTCAGGATAATTTCGATCATAAGGTCTATCTCTTTCTCTCTCATATGGTCTATCATAAGTACCACGATAATCTCTTCTGTATTCCATTTCAGGAGGATCTCTTCCATAACGATCATAAGGACGATCATATCCACCACGTTCAGGAAGAGCTGGAGGAGGATATCTTTCATCCCTAATGTATTTATCCCGGTTGTCTCTTGCACTATATGGCTCCCTAATATAACTGTCACTGGTTCGACGATCATCATATCTACCAGGTTTTCGAGAAACAAATTCACGCGCGTTGCTAAAGGATAGCAATTATTTAAGACATCAGAATTTCTCAAAGCTATGATACTGTGGTCGCAGTTTTCTCAATACTTGATGTAATAGCTAATTATAAACGCACTAATGTAGCCAAAACTTTTTTTTTTTTTTTTTTTTTCCTGATCCTTTGATAGAAGTTGCTAGCTCCTTCTGACCACGAAAGTTGCTTACCTAGTACACTCTCGTGCCCAATGACCGACTAGACCACATTTAAAACATGTATCGGTAGATTTTGTTTCTGCTCCTCTGTTGTTGTTGTTGCTATGGTGATGATTATTGTGATGGTGATGATGATGATGATTATGATATTTGAAAGTTCCGTTTCTTTCGCCATGAGCAAATTCTACACGAAGTTGAGATCCTTGAAATTCGGTTCCATTAAGAGAATCAATTGCTTCTTCACATATACGACGTTCTTCGTATTCCTTTTCATTTATTTTTTATGTTGCAGTTATATGTCAGTAGCAATTCTTTGTCAATGTAATGAGTAGAATCAACCTCCTTCCCGCCATAAGATATGCGTCCAAAGGATTTCACGTGACGAGAATAACAGCAAACAAGCACCATTTTCGTGTATACTTATACATATAATTTTTAATATTAATTATTAAGTAAATATATTATTAAAAAATCCTTTGGACGCATGAATCTCATGTTGGGTCTGCTGTAGATCTGCTTATTATTCGATAGTCAAAATATTTCTGATCACCACATTGAAACGCTTACAATGAATCCGTAGTTTCCTTTCAGTTCCATGTTAACTACGTTGCCATACTTGGAAAAACATTCCTTAATATCCTCTGGTCTGGCTCGTTCCGGTAGGTGACCGACATAAACTTTGACACCCGCACTTGGCATGATTGATCGTCTCTTTTTATCAATCGAGGTAATTGAGGTAATTGATTATGGAATCTCAAGAAAATCTATAAGCTGTGTATCATATGTATTTTGAAATTCCGGAAGGAAATATTATCATTTGTCAGAGAACTTTGTAATTTTAAAACGTCTTGGAATAATGATTTCGAGATGACTTGTACACCTTATATAATGTTAAGTATAAACTCTCATCGAAAAGAAAATGCCAAAACAAAGTGCAAATCTCCGATAAAATTGAAAATAAACATCAAAAAATTTTTTTTTTTTTTTCAAGAAAATTGAAACGGTTTTTTCTTGAAAAAATTTGCTTCAACATAACGTTATCGCGCTACTAGTTTCAAAAGTTTGAGCATGTCTTTGACTGGATCTCTGAATCGTACCTTTAAAGTGCGCTACTTTTTTTTATCCTTACCGTTTACTCTTTAGCTTTTTTGTATAGTTTGGTTAACCTGTATTGTTTCAGATTCTTTGACTTATCAATTGCTTTTTACTCAATATTCAAGTTAGATGAACTCTCAATAACAAATAGTAGTGTGCTGTCCAGATTAAATGAGACCACAAAAGAAAGCTCCTGAAGACCTTACACTTTTTTATCAGCCTTTTAAAGGGCTTTTCGTTAATAGCTTAACTAAGATCTATAATCCTGAAATTTCACTAGATTTCTAGATTACAGATAAAAAAAAGGGTTGAAAGCTTAGTAGTAGTTCAAAAAAAAAGGAACTTTAGTCCTTAAAAACAAAAACCGCTGAACAATCGACAATTTATATGTAACACCGCAATCAGAAATGGCAAAGTTAACCACGTGAACGATTGCACAGGCCCCCGCTCACAGATCTAACATGTGGATTGTAGATAGTTTTCAGCCAGAATTAAATGATGCCACCCCTGAAAAAAAGGACGTGAAGGGATAACGGCAGATCTACATAAACATATTGTTGATTTTTCCTTTTAAATAATGCCAGCCAGAATTAAATGATGCTACCCATGAAAAAGGATATACTGTAGCTTTTTTTTCGTTTTTTAAAACTAGTTTAATCAGTTTAATCAATTTAATCAATTCAATCAAAATTTAATCAACCTTTTTGGATCAATGTTTCATACAACTCGTATCCTTCTTTCGAGAACTTTGCAATATGGCTCTAATAAAACTTTTCTACCGTTTTCAAATATGGATGTATGCAACATTAATAATGTACAGAAAAGGTTTTCAGGACATAATAAATGGAGTAAAATTAGACATGTGAAGGGTGTAAAAGATCTTGAACGTGGAATTTTGTTTACAAAACTTTCGAAGGAAATTCAACTTGCGGTAAAACGTTGGTGTTTTGAGTATTTTTTTTTACATCAAACCATAACCTCATACATGAATGGTATTTTTCTTCATTAATACAATTGATTATTATTTTACTCGACGCGATAAGTGGGAGGTTCTGATCCCGGACAAAATGTTCGATTAGCTGCCGCATTGGCAAGTGCCAAAAAAGCACATATGCCTAAGGATAATATAGACAATTCAATTAAAAGGGTTTGTATATTTTATAAGTAAATAGTTCATACTTTTTATGATAAATTGTGTCAAGTTATCCGAATTATTTTAATAGGCATTAGGCCAAACAAAAGCCGATAGCATCGAGAGCATAACCTATGAAGGATATGGACCTGGTGGAATAGCATTTTTAATGTAATTTACAAAATTTTCCAAATTAAATTTTAGACAGAAGAAGGATTTTTGATACCTAATTTCTTAAATTTTTTATAATAGAGAAACCTTAACAGATAATAAAAATAGGACCGTTAAAGATTTAAAACATTTTTTTGCTAAAGCTGGGTACGAGGTGAATCAATTGAAAAACCATTGATTTGATTAGAAGAATATTTGATTAAAAAATAAAATTATTCTTAATTATTTAATTTGGTTTTAAAAACTTTTTTTCAGAGGATCAATGTCAGCCGTATCTTGGATGTTTAATAAAAGAGGTAACCTTACCAGATATAAGCCATCTGGAGTGTAATTTTATCTTACAATAATAATTTTACTTGTTTAAAAGGTAGTGTTCAGTTTAATCATGGATCAACGCAGGATACTCTTGATAAAATGATGGATAATGCAATAGAGATTAATGGAGTTGAAGATATTCAAGAATTAGATGATGATTCATTAGAGGTGATTATTTTTAATTTTTGAGGAATTTTTCTGCTTTGTCTGATCAACTCTCCCCTATTAGATCATATGCCCTTCACCATCTGTTAATGTGATATATGAAGAATTAACAACAAAGTACAATTATGAAGTCATTAGGATGAGTAGTGGATACATTCCTACATCAACCATTAAATTAAATGAAGATGATAAAGATTTGATGGAAAAGTTTACAAGATTTATGAATAATTTAAATGATCATGAGGATGTTATAAAAGTGCATAACAATGCCGAATGACACTTCTTAGAATGTTTAATCATTTTTTGAAATTAATTAGAAAATTAGCAAATGTTGCCTTGTGTATTTAATTGATAGTCCATGAATTTAAAATATTGTCTATAAGTGTTGAATATTACAAAATGTTTAGTACACTATAATTTTCAAGAATAAAACTATTTAAATTTATTTTCATTCTTTACGGACAACTTGTACTATATACACAATTTACAATTTACGTAATTTAAAGTGGAGTATATTTAGAGAATGTGCGATTAGAGAATGGCGATTAGAGTATGCGATTAGAAAATGTGTGATTAGAGAATGTGCGATTAGAGAATGTGCGATTAGAAAATGTGCGATTAGAAAAATGTGCGTTTAGAGAGTGTGTATTTAGGCAACATGTTTTTATAAGTAGACGAAAAGAATGGAAATAAATCACAACATGATTAAGATAACAAGATAAATATAAAAAAGATCCTTTTCATGAAATTTGATGTATACGCACCAATACCATACCTTGACTGACGCAGTGCTGGAGATTTTGGCGGTGGATTACATACTCATCTTTATCGAAGAGGTTAGGATGATCTTGCATATCTTTGACTCGAGCGTATTATTTAATCATTCGAACAGATCATGAAGAACTAAGAAATATCATTAAGTAAAGAACAGATCATGAAGAACTAAGAAATATCATAAAGTAAAGAACAGATCATTATGAACTAAGAGATCATTGAACTAAATTTTCAAGCGTGTAAGTGTTGGATTAACATCACTTAACCATTCGTTGAAGTAAAGAAATTTTCAAGCGTGTAAGCGTTGGATTACCATTCGTTGAAGTAAAGAACAGATCATGAAGAACTAAGAAATATCATTAAGTAAAGAACAGATCATGATGAACTAAGAAATATCATTAAGTAAAGAACAGATCATGATGAACTAAGAAATATCATTAAGTAAAGAACAGATCATGATGAACCAAGAACTAAATTTTCAAGCGTGTAAGTGTTGGATTAACATCACTTAACCATTCGTTGAAGTAAAGAAATTTTCAAGTGTGTAAGCGTTGGATTACCATTCGTTGAAGTAAAGAAATTTTCAAGCGTATAAGCGTTGGATTACATCACTTAATCATTCGGATTTGCAACATAACAGATCATGAAGAACTAAGAAATATCAGAACAGATCATGATGAACTAATAAATATCATGGAACTAAGTTTTCAAGCGTATAACATCACTGAAGTATTCGGGTTTGCAACATAACAGATTACGAAATATCATTAATTTTCAAGCGTATAAGCGTTGGATTACATCACTTAACCACTCGGGTTTGCAAATACAAGACACCCATCAGATCACAAAACATGTAAAAAATGTGTATATTTAAAATGAGTGATACGAACTTAAATATATAACGGTGAACTTATAGATGGAATTGATTGTAAATATGTTAATATGTTTTCAACATTTAACATTTGAACATTTTGTTTACAATTAATTTATTTTCAATTATAACCATTACATCATTCAACCGCTTAATTTATACAACAGATTAAAAAGAATCTTCCCTCAAAATGTTTTACGTAGTTATTTTTATTTATTTTGATTTTTCATTGGTTCATTTGTTTTTAATTATAGATTTGAATTCATAACCCCTAATTACTTAATAATTATAATATTATTTATTATAGATTTAAATCAATCATATTGCATAACTAACAAACACGTTTATATCTAAATAATGATATTATTAAAATCATATTGCATATAACTAACTACTAATTATGATAATTTATTTTTACTTTATGATAATTAGTTTATAATTTTAATTAATTTAATTAATGTTATGAATTTACTTATTATGGTATCACTATACGACAGTATACGTGCACCACTAAATTTATGGATTTACCTAAATTACTAAATTACTAAATTATGAAATTGTTGAAATTAAAAACTATTGAAACTAAATTACCGTATTAACTGGGAACTAATCAACTAAATTACTGGGAACTAATTGGGAACTAATCAACTAAAATTAACTGGGAACTAATCGAAATTAACTGGAAACTAAAATTAATTGGAGTTAAAATTAATTGGAGTTATAATTAATTGGAACTAAAATTAATTGGAATTATGAAAATTTTTTAAAAAAATAAAGTCATTTAAAATAAGTCATTTAAAATAAGTCATTTAAAAAAAGTCATTTAAAAAAAGTCATTTTAAAAAAAAAAACTAAACTAATTATGAATTTATATATAATTTCAATAAAATTTTTTATTTACAGTTATCATATGAAAATATTGAAAATATTTGAAAAATATTTTTTAAAAAAAATTTCACTAAACTTAATAAATAAATTTTTTTTTTAGCCTAAAAAAAAATTTCAAATTTTTCAAATTTTTCGAAATTTTCAAAAACTTTAAAAAAAATTATTTAAAATATTTTATTTTTATTTTAAAATATTTTAAAAAAAATTTAAAATTTCACATGATTCACGCGTTTTTCTTGCATTTAATATTACCTTTTTTTTACTAAACTACATTTTTTTTATTACTAAAAATTACAGTATTTTAAATTACAATATTTTAAATTATATTTTTTTTTTCTCATTTATTTTATTCTTTTTTTTCATTATTATTTTTTTCATTTACCTTGTTATTTTCACACGAAAAATACGAAATATTCGAAAATTAATCAGAAACAAATCATTCAATTAAAAATAAAAAAATAAATTTTTGTTTATATTAAAGTAAATCACGTAATTTAATTTTTAACGTCAATGAATGGAAACATAAATAAGATTCAAAAATGTATTCATTGTATTATATATATATATATATATATGTATATATACTTTTTTTATTTTTTATTCATCCTCTTCGACATTTTTGATAGTTGATCTTTTTTTAATTTTAAAATTCTTTTTCCGAAACAAAAAAAAAAAA